CACTGGAGGCACCCAAATGGGGGCTGGTACCTACCTAGGGGTGAAGGTGTGGGTGCCACCACCAGTCTCACGCTGTCCCCAAGAGGTGAGGACACAAAGAGATAAGCCTTGGGGTGGTAGGAGCACCTGTAGGTGCCATTGTCAGCTGTGGTCACCACAAAAAGGATGAAGGTGGCCGTGCCTTCATCACTGGGGTCCTGGTTCTGGAGAGGGGCTGAGTGCCCATCCTTGTGCAGGAAGATGATGCCCCCATATCCTGGTTGCAGCAGCGGATGGTGACATTGGTCCCCACTGCCACGCTTTTGTCAGGGCTCATGGAAATGTTAGGTGGGGAATATTGACTATCTGGATGCAGAGGGAGAACAGAGATAGGACATGGCCCTGTGGAGAATGCCGAGGGCCATCTGCTTTCCCCATAACCCTCACCTGTCACCACCAACTCGATGGGGACACTCTTCTCTGATCTTCCTGGTGGCTCCAAAACCCGGTATTGGCACCAATCCTTCATTGCATCTTCCAGCTTTACGGAAACCAAGGAGAACTCAGCCATGACCTGATGCTTGTCCACATCCTTGTAGGATCTCAGAAGTCCATCCTGGTAAAGCTCAACCCTGGCAGCTGACTGGGGCAGGTGGCACCTTAGGGTGACAGTGTCCCCCAGGGACACCCCTTGGCTGGGGTGCAGTGACAGGGAGGGTCGGGGCACTAGGATAGGGGACAGCAGTCAGCCTTGTCCCTGCACACCCTCCTCTGCCCCTCTGATGGTCCTCTGACCACGCTCCCCTGCCTCTCTCCCCATTCTCACCCTGTCCCCATACTAATGATGCTGTGCTCTGCTCACTGTCACCAGCCACCAAGCTTCAAGGGACACGGTCCTGGTCAGATACCTGGCCACCAGCCCCTGTTGCACCCCGTCCCCTTTGTTGCTCACTGAGGATGTGGGCCAGCATCATTGGTGCCATGAGGCAGGAGCAGCTTGGGGACAGAGAGACTGCAGTGGGGATGGGGATTGGCGGGAGAAGCATTGTCTGTTCCCCTTGGGGACAGGATTCCATTATATCTCCTCCCCATGTGACAATTGTTGTCCCCAAATTGTGGCCCTGTGTGGCCTGGGAAAGGATGCCACACTTGAAATGGTACACACTACCCTTACTGGGGTGCCCCACACAGGCTGTCACCCTTCTGGTGCCATACGCTGTCCCCAAAGGGCTGCCAGTGTGTGGCTTTGCCTGGTGTTCCCCTTGGGATGCCAAACACAGCACACGTGTCTCCTATGGGGTGTTGTGGCTGAGAACGCTCTGTCACACTGTGCTGCTGTGCTCTGAGCAGCTGAAGATCCAGAGGAGGTTGTGAGGCCTCCAGATCTAGGGATAAGGGTTGGTGGTGGGTCTCCAAATCCATGGGGTGATCTGTAGGGTAGGGTTTGAAGTTCCACAGGTGATTGTAGCATCTCCCAATCTATGGGTTGTGGTTGTTGAGACGACTCCAATTTTGTGAGGTGAGCAATGGGTCAGGGTTTGGGGGTGGGCCACAGCTGAGTGTGGGTCACCAAATGTACAGAGCTATCTGTGGGGCAGGGCCCTACGTTGTGCTCCACAGCAATGGAGCTCCTTTGTAAATACATTTACCCCAGTTTTGAGATCCTCCCTCTCCCCTCTCCTCATAGCAGACCTCTGTGGTTCAGGAAAAGCCAGATTTCCATCTGTGACACCACAGCCCCATGGGAACCTCCAAGGAGACTGCCCTTCTCTTCCCCACAACACACATCTACCAGGTGCCCCCCAAAAATGTGCTCCCCCCCAGTACCCCCACAGATGTCCCCAAAACCTCGAGTCCTATCC